TTAGCTCTCAACTACTAACCGTGTCTTGTATCATTTAGTGGTGCCATCCGTATGTTGTTTTTATCTTCAATACTCATTTATTGCATACAGCATTCATAACATGTGTGGTTGGAACTAGAGACCAAGTACTAGTATGTAAGAGAGCGAGTGGTCTCCTTGGCCATTATAGAATGCCATTCTCAGAATTTTTTTGCTTCGATGAAGCAAGTATGAGTCTTTAGAACTAGCATATGAGAGGTTGAAAAATTTGCATTTGGTGGATGCAAATCCTCCATGGGATGGAGGGTCATGATGTGTGTATGTTGAGGAGAAGGAGGTGGCGAGTTTGAGAGGACTCGTAGTGTGTGTGTAAAAATCAAAGGTACTTAGATCTAGTAGTAGATTGTGTCCTAGTGAAGAAGAGAAAGTGTTTTATGGGTAATAGTTTTGATTAGGGGGTCTTAGCTAGAGATTTTATGAACAATTAGGGAGTGGGTTGGCTGTGAAGGGCAAGATGCGGATCGGATATGGATATAGGCTATCGATGAGCGATTGAAGACATGAAGGTAAAAAGTGGGACTGCCATTGTGTGGATAGGGTATGGGTGAGTGATTGGTAGAAGTATGAGGGTTTATCCGAGTGTGATTTGGAGAAGGTGGATTATGTGGAGATTAGGAGACAAGAACAACAAGCTCATCATTTTGTGCAAGGATGGTGAACAAGGAATGTGATAATAGATCTAAAGGGTAAAGGCTATATGGGGAAGTGGGTTTTGCTTTAGTGGGTTGTGGGTCGTGGGTGTATTAGGATGGGTATTAAAGGGAAGGGCCTATATGTGTTGTCCGGTTCGTGTTGGCTATAGGGTTAGTGGTTACTAGTTTATGAGTTATCAGGCGGCAAGTTTGGGGTTGTAGGCTTGCGGTTTGATGCAATATAGGTTATAGGTTGTCCGGATGTTGATTTGCATATCGAGGAGCGAGTCTGTATATGGGATTGCTAGTGTGTGGGTCGTGGGCTAGAAGTGTATGGGATATTGGCTTGGCATGGAATTTTGTAAATGTGGTCAGTTGGAGCAAGGGGTGGTTATTGGGTTATTCCCATATGAGGTTTGAGCTGGTGGCTTGGGGTCATATGGGCTGTAGGTCGGGTAGAAAATACTACTGTTTGGGTGGCTACTCGGAACACGACTAAGTGCAACATAGTGATGCTAATCTATATGAGAGTTAGTGAAATAAACGGAATGTCTAATGGGTAAGCTAGCCCATGGAAGTGATAAGGCAAGGAGGAGTAGTAGGAGGTTGCATATCTAATTTAGCAAAAGGAAAAATAGTTTTAACAAAGTGAACATGACAAGCAATGTAGACTGATTTTTTTATTATCAAAGCGAGTGATATACTAAATGGTGAGTATATCCGAGAAATATGCGAGGAGTGGTTCTAAAATCCATTTTATGTCTGTTGTAAGGACGTAAGCGGGGATAGCAGAGACTTCTATATACCTTTAGAAATGAGTAGTTAGGTTTCTTTTTAAAGGCCATTTCAAAGGGTGAAACATTATCAATAGTGAGAGAAGACATTTTATTGATAAGAAATATAGCTATTTCAAAGGCATATTGCCAAAATATTTTTGAAACATTTGATTCACCTAGCAAGGTGAGCCTCATTTCCACAATGTGATTATGTCATCTTTCAATGGTTCCATTTTTTTCATAGGTGTGAGGACACATTAAGCGAGGTATGATGTCAAGTGATTTAAAGAGTTTTGTTAGGCTTTAAAATTCCCCACCCTGATTTGTTTGCACTTGTTTGATCTAACGAGTTAAATTGACGCTCAACCATTTTTTGAAAAATAACAAACAAATCAAATATATCGGACTTTTTATATAATGGATAAAACTATATATATTTTTAAAAAATGATCAACAAATGTAACATAATATTTATGGCCATCATAAGAAGCGAGTAGGAAAAGGCCCCCACACTTCGCTAAAAATCAAACTTAAAATACTAGTACTCAAATTTCTGGAAGAAAGTAAAGATAAACGACTTGCTTTACCTAATGGACAAGACAAGCAAGGGGTAGATAAGTTCTTAGAATGCGACAAAGCGAGTTTTATAAAATAAGATTAAATACTCTATCGTGGGGATGACCTAGGCGAGAGCGCCGGATGGAAGCGAGAGATACGAATAGAGTGAGCTTGAGGAGTGGGAAAAATTGAAGGAGATGGTAGAGATCAGTATCACTATGGCCTAAAAGCAAAGGGTTCCTATGTACATGGTCCTTGAGATAGACAATAGAGAGGAGAAATTCAAAAAATACATTATTATCATGACCTATACTTTTTACTAAAAGAAGTGGCTTGGTTATTTTAGGAACATGTAAAAATCAAGTAATTGTAATGTTTTAGTCGGAGTAGAAATAGAGTTAGTGCCTATATAAAGAATTTTTAGGTACTCACCATTGCTAACTCGGAGTTGATCGGGGCGCCGATAGGGCTCATGTGTACTAAAGCTTGACGGATCGGGTGTCACATGGTGTGAAGCACCGGTATCGGGACACCAAGATTGGGCATACAATACAATAGAGGTATTAATCGAGACATTAACGGATGGTTAAGGAGGAGGAAACTACCTTTAGGAAGAATGTACTGTTGTATGGTTGCAAGAGGAACGAGCTGAAATTTTTATCTTTAGTCATTCGAGCTAGTGCCAAGGATTTCTATGTTCCGACATAAAGTAATTGTTGCCAAAACGAGGAGGAAATTTGGCATGCCTATGCCTACGAAATTGTCTACCTCTACCACTCGGTATAACTATTAAAATAGTGATTAGGAAGGCCGGTGTGTTTATGGATGCTCGTTTATAGTAGGAGGGTTGGTAATAAGGCGGACTTTGGTGTGAAATAGTGGATGCGGACAGAGACTCATTGTTTAAAAACTCATGACTAACCAAGAAGTCGTGGAGGTTAATAAAGCTTACAAGTTCGATCTTTTGGACATGGTGGTGATGATGTCTTTAAAGTCATTGGATAGACCTTTAGAAACATATAGATTGAAATCTATGAAAGGTGGGGGCTAACTTGCTACAATGAGTTCATCACTCGTATGATTTGGCACGTTGCAAGAATTAAGACATTGGTTCGTTAGGTTCTCGGAGAAGCTTTTGCATGGCAAGATGCGGGATCATGAGACGGGTGCTAGAAAGAGATGTAACGGCACTCTCAAGTACAGTCTCCACGTCACGGGAGGTGGTGCAGTCAATGACTAATTGTAGCACATCAATAGAAAGGGAGGAGATGATGATGCTCATTAGCAATTAGTCCCGCTGAATCCAAGAGAGTTGTGAGAGGTCATCCATGGATTCAGTAGGAGTGGATTTTTATGGGGGACAAGGGTTGGAACCATCAATAAAGCTAAAGACCTTTACTTAGGAGGAAAGGGTTCGTTTGTGCATGTAACAATAGATAGCTTACGTGGGTGAGTTTAAGAGATAGGAAATGATGAGAGTTACCGAGTTGACTTAGTGGAATGGTTTTTAGGATAGCAGGGGTATCATTGGCGGATGAGGTAGCACTCGGAGAAACTATTTTTTTTTAGAGTGATATAGAAACAAAGGAGAAGGAATGGGCGGTAGTGATGCCAAAAAAGCTTCGATACCAAATTAGAACTAAAAACACAAGGAAGGAGATGATGAATAGTATATTATCATTCATAGCTATAAGTTACGGTAAGTGTTTATATATATAGTGAAGCTAGTTCTTAATGTATAGGATAATACAAGATAGCTAACAAAGTGGATCTATCGAGCTTTAATCTTATCTTCACGTGTGACTCGGTTTATCCGTGCATGGAGTCTTCCGTAAGAGTTTGAGTTGAGTCCGCATCCATCACTTGTTCTTTGCAATGTCTATGGAAGAGTTATTACGGTAGTAGATGTTTTGCTTAATACGTACTAATAAAAAAATATTAGATCTAAAAAAAGAAATTTTTTTTTCATGATTTTCTCGAGAAATATTTTTTAGATATTTATTATAATATTATTAATGTTTTAAATTTTATTAAGGCAAAGAAAGAATTGTTTTTTTTTTGTCCTAATTATTAATGAAGTTTTTTCATGATAGAATTTGAAACAAAGAATTTAAATTAATTTGGAAAGAATGTTATGTCACCAACTCCTTTTTGAAGGATTTTGGTTGTATACATGCATATATATGCAAATGAAGAAATAGGCCCCATAACTCTAAAATGAGCATAAATACCATATAGATATACATATAACTAAGAAGGCATATCAAATCTCAATGAATTCTTCACTCTTGGCCTTTTAATTATGAATTTCGTATACCTTCAATTCAAACTTAATTATCATATTGTTGTTTCTATCCTCCGAACACGGACATGCTAAGTTGACACTTGCTACTATATAAACGATGTTCACTATTCTCCTTTTTCTTATGAGGAGTTGTTTGTTGTGTTTAACGATTTTGTTATTTTTGTAACCTTAGTTGTTCAACATAACTAGGTAGTTTTTTTTTCCCTCCTTTTCATGTTGTTTTTTTTTTTCTTTTCTTGAGGCACATGAATAAGAAATCCAGGATTGGTTAGTTTGTTTTGAGTACTTAAATATACATTGGTTTAAAAAAAGTTTTGAATAGATTCATCAAGAGATTTGAGAACTATATTGGCTTATATCTCAAATTTTATATTTTAATGGATTGTATTGTTGTAATCCAATAATATCATCACAAAAATAAATCATGCAATTTTTTTTTAATAACAAAAGTAAATCATGCTATTGGTATATTCTTCATTTCAAAGTTCTATAATCTTATTATTTTTTTAATATTGTAGGTTTTCCTTTAACTTATGGAAATTTTTAACTTTTCTTTTTTCTTTTTTTCTCTTGTTCAAGATTTTCTCATGTTATAATTTAAGTAGTTCTTTCTTTGCCTTTTGCTTCTAAGATCTGCAAAAAATTTGTTTGTGATCTTTTTATCTATGAATGACTAATCAGATATACACCATGAAAAACAAGAAGCAGCTAATCCAAAACGAAGAAAAAGAACTTCTGCCAGTTGTAATAGATTATCAACCTAATGTCTCATCACCATCTCCTCGAACAGTGCTCAACGCTATCCTTGAAGAATCAAGAAACTCAAGCCAAAACAACTTAATTGGTTTTGAAAATATGCCATCAAATGATACTGCAAAATTATCTAGCAAGCTCCAAGGATCAAGCTCGAGCTCGGGACCGGGATCCACCTCAGACAAAGAGAATTCAATCATGGAAGAAACAAATGATGCTGACATGTTGGACTCGTTTTTCAAATGCTTGGACATAAATAAGACTGTCCCATTAGATTTTGAGCAATCTCAGAAGGCAACAAAACAGAATGCAGTTCAAACCAATGAGGCCTTGACTCAAATTATATCAGAAATAATTATACCAAACTCAAAATCAGAACAGATCACTTCCGATCCGCACAAAGAATTAGGAAAGGTCTTGGATCCTGAAATGCTTGCAGAAATAGCTAAGCATGATCCAAAGATGGCAGAGAGGTATAACTTTCAAAAAAATATTATTACATTTATGATTGATTATTTAGTACTCTTCTTGTTGTAATATATATTAATTAGTTCTATTTTCTTTTAATCATTTCGTGGTTAATGAATTTTTTATATGCTTATGAATAAAATCAAGAGCTAACCGGTTTTATTTGTGTTTGCTGTTATTTTTATGCATTTATAAGCTAAAAGTTTTGGCTATCTTAGAAGTTGCTTTCATTTGACTTTGCATGAGATTTGTAAAGTTTTCAGTGTCAAGCGATATAATTTTTTTTGTATTGCTCGTGCAGTTAATTTATGAAGATTTAATGATTCTAAATATAAGGAATATTTTTATATTTATGTAAAGAAGATCAATCATTAATTGAATTGAATTACTTATAGTAAGATGATTGATTGATCGTCAAATTTTAATTTTTCATACATCGTTTATGGATACGTACACATGCACGTCGTATTCGTATTAATATACAGTAAATATATGCATATACATATACATATAGGAGCCCTAATACAATTGATCTTGATCGCCTTGTAAATATATATATATTTTTTGTTTCTTAAATGTTATTTGTGGATAAAACTAATTGGAATTCTCTTGAAATTTATAGATATCATTTTATGCCTTTCTTTCCTTCTGAATTTGTTATCAGGATAGTGACAAATTGGATGTCAGCCTTGGAGGCAAGAGATAAGGAGGAGCTAAGCGCATTTATGCTTGAACACATGACAGAAAGCTCGCTAGCTGAATCAGTTTCATTATCTGCTTACTTCGAAGTAATTCTACTAACTAATGATTTTTTAGTTTTATTTTTTAAAAAAGAGACTCAAACTTTCTATATATTATCCACAATATCATTTATAATCATCGTTACATAAATTAAACTAAAAACTCTGTGCTTTCTTTGTTATTGCTCAATAAAATTTTGTGTTGTTTGTTAATGGGTAGAGAGAAATTAGGTGCTTGGAGGATGAAAAAACTAAAATGCAAGAGCAGATAGAAATGACTTTGCAAGAGATTCATATGCAAGAAGGTAAGGATTTATTTTCTTATATATATTCTGTCCACATTTCATTTTGATTCTATCTTTTGCTTAATGATTTTTTTTTCTAGTAATGGTAATTAAAACAATATGCGTGCTTGAGTATCTAAATAAATTATATTGTAAACAAATTATAGATAACAAGGTCTTCAAATATTGTGCAATTAGAAAAAAACACGCTCAAGTGATTTGATTTTTTTTTTTTTGAGCGACCATGCTAGATGATCATGTTTTTTTTTCTTTTTTTCCTTTCAAATTTCATAATATTTAAACTAATTCGATAGTTTTAGAAAATACGTCTAAATTAAATAGCAAGCATGTTATTAATTACGTATTTTAGGATATATTATATTATCAATTAAAGTCTATTTTATTACAATATATTTATTTACATTATACAAAACAAAACCTTATTCTTCTTATATATATATATATATATATATTACAGACTTGTTAATTAGCAAGGTTGTCTCGTTAGAAAGTGAGCCTCTCTTATTGTATTATTTATGCATACTTGTTATTTAGTAAATTTGTCTAATTAGAAAGTGAGAGAAGAACAGATAAGTCTGCATTTAAATCGTTAAGCTACAGTTCATAAATATAAAAATTTGGTTTCCAATTCGTAGTGAAATGATCTTTTTTTTTCTTTTTTTTATTTTTTTTTCAATATCTAAATGTTCAGAAATAAATTTGACATCTTTGGTTCAATAAATGGAAAAAGGGAAATTAACTTTTTTGTTTAATCAATTAAAATGAATAATTTTTTTTTATATATTAATTTGACAGCGATGAATAATGAAATGAGAGAAGAGATTCAGCGCTTGAAGATGTTATGGCAAAAGACACCTCATTGTGGAAGGATGTTCAACTCTATGAATGGATGTGAGGGACACAACCTTCCTGCAGCTGATGCATCCTTGGACACAACGAAATATGGGGATAACGACGCAGATGAATATTTTGATGAATATGAGGTAGGACAATCAAGTGAATCTCAAAAGATCCAACAACAATATCCATTGCAAGTTTACTACCAAGGACAAGACAAAGATGAGCAGTCCCAAGGTCAGGAGCCATGCATTGTGGATCCAAACACTGAAGAATCAAGGATTGAGGAGGAGCAAAGTGATAAAGATTAATTGGATGAACAAAGTGGCGATGGTGAGGAAAGAAATGAGTAATGCACTTCGGGATGTTGAGTGATCAATCATATATGATCATTTCTAATAGTTCTTTTATTGGTGAATTTATTTTTGGTTTTTTATCTGGTGCAACAGAACATGGTATTTAAAGTCTTAGTTTAAAAAAAAAAAAACTGGTTAATTTGTTTGGTTTTACATGTAATAATTAGTACCAGAATTCTATGAGTTGATAAAAAGCCCTTGACTTACATATTTAGGGTTTTAAGTTGGTATTTGTTGTCTTAACATATATAGATATGGTTTGGAATATTTGCTACTAAATCATATGATTAAGATGGTTTGAGCTGGTAGTATTTTTTGCAGCATGTAACAGGTAAGTAAAGTTAACAATCATATGCTCTAATTGGTTGTAAAGTTAGCATGTAACAGGTAAGTAAAATTGTTATTGTTCTCCTAGGAAAAAAAGTTTATTTTTATCACTTTGTTTTTTTTTATAGAAATCTCACAAGTATGTTAGATAATTAAGCTATTAGTTGGTTTGACTTCAAAAAAGTTTTTTTCTTCTCGGTTTAGTTTTAGATATATATATATATAATGGGGCTTTTTGTATGTTTTTATGAAGTCTAAGCTAACTTTTTTTAAAAAAAATACTACTAAAAAATAGCATCTACTAAGTTAAAAAGAAAGGATATTCACTCGATTCTTTTTCATAAGCTTATTTATTTATTCAAATAAAGCGTTAAAAGAAAAGGAAGCTCAAACTCCAAACCTTCTAGGAACTCTCTACCTGTTAAGCCCACTTTCAACTGGTAAAATTTAACTCCTTTTTACAACTAATTTTCTTGGTTAGCACACGAGCTTGGTTGGTAAGGTATGACCCTCATTTTATCATCTAGAATTTGAATAAAAAATTAAGAAGATCATAAAAAAATAATTTCTTATGAATAATTATTATTATCACGATCACCATTTCATGACCACCACCAATATAACGATCACTATCATAAGCCATCATCTTATGATCATTTCCACCGCCATCACTACAAACTCCACCATCACTTCTTTTATTTTAATACCGTCACTTTACAACTACCAATAGAAAATAAGGAAAAAAATGGTTCTCTTAACACATTCAAACAATAAAAATAACTCATTTTTTAGGAAAATATTTTTCAATAACATATTTGTTATTTAGAAATATATTTTCGCAAGACAAATGGGTGTAATAGTAAGCATCAGCATTTTGAAGCGAATATGAACTTAAATGTGACGGGCCCAAAACCAATGGAAAGAAATTAGTAATTCTAGAAATACTTAGGCTATGTTAGTTTCACGTAAAATATATATGTTTTTGTAAATTGTATATATATATTTTTTGCATTTTTAAAATATTTTTTTAAACCATTCTTGTTATTAAATTATGAGTCCCATCACTGATTAATTTATGTGTTTTTTATTTGAAAACTTCTTTTCGCCACAAAAGAAACACCAATAAACTATTTTCAAGTAGTTTTCATTAACTTAACCAACAATAATAACATATTTTCTATGATATTGTTTTTATGAAGCAAAACTGTTTTACATGTTATTTTAAATATAAAAATATTTTTGAGCATAAGATATATATTGTTTAAATATTCAAAATATTGGTAACAAATATATGAACATTCAAACTCTGCATTTTGAAACCAATAGGAACTTAAATGTGATTAGTTCAAAACCAACAAAAAGAAATTAGAAATCCTAGAAATACTTAGGTTATATTTGTTTCACGTAAAATATATATGTTTTTGTAAATTATATATTTTTTCATTTTTAAAATATTTTTTAAAACCATCCTTGTTATTAAATTACGAGCCCCATCATTGATTAATTCATGTATTTTCTATTTGAAAACTTCTTTTCCCCACGTATGAAACACAAAAAAACTATTTTCAAGTAGTTTTCATTAAAGTAACCAAACAAAAATAACATATTTTCTATGATATTGTTTTTATGAAACAAAGCTATTTTACATGTTATTTTAAAAATAAAAATATATTTTTTTAAAACAAATTATTTTACAAGGAACAAACAAACCTTAAACGACAAGTTAAAATTTGATGGCTCTAAGATGGTGATTTTGTTAGCATATATAGCGACTAAATTCTAAATTTGCCATATTTTAAACATTTTTCAGTGAGCATCACCAAGGTACCATTTTTACATTCACAAAATAAGGCTTAACCTATCAATATTTAACCTCCTAAGTTTGTCTCAATTATTCAAAACTATTTTAGTTATTAATAATTTATTCAATAAAAATCTATGTTTGTAAAATTAGCTCCATTAAGCCTAATAATTAATTTCCATCCAATAGTTTTGTTGATTGGATATAACATAGACAAACAATTTTCACATAGGATGAAAATCGGACCCAATCTTGATGAATGATTCTATGTACTTGCACATAATTGATAAAAAAAATCCCATCGAGGCCTCAAACTCGCTCACATGTTACTATGAACAACAACAATAATTAAAAAAAACTCTTGCTTGAGCAAAACATAATCACATTACTCTTCTCATAACATTCTTGATCTAACCAAGGTCTAGAATGTTACCGACAATGCCTCGTATTCGAGGTGTTATGAACGTGAAATACTAAGTCTCATGTCCTTATAAATTTTTTTGAAAAACAATATATAGCGGAGGACTATTTGATTTGAAAACTAAAACCAATTCATTTAATAGAAACAAAACTCATAACTAGAAATTATTTTATTTATTTTCAAAACATAATTATACAAAACACATTAAGCTATTAAATCTATTTTCATTAAAAAATAAATATAGTCTTGAATAATCATACTAATTATTTAAATAACCATTTAAGCTTTATTAACTAATAAATCATTTTATTTATCAAACTTTCAATTTATTGGAAACCTATAGGTTTAAAATTTAATTAAACGACATAACTTAATCTTCTTGAAGTTATGCTCATTGGAAGCTATTTCAAGTTTAAGTTTCATAAACAATTAAACACTTAGCAATTTAACACCATTTAATATTATTATTATGAAAATCAATTCAAGTCTAGTAATATATATGGCCATTGGAACCATTTTAAGTATTACAATAGAAAACCATTAAATTGAACTTTAGAACTCATTCCTTGTTTAACCATTTTATTAAATTATTAGGAACCATTTTAATTAATTCTTTTTATTTAACCATTTTATTAAAGCTACTAAACCATTAAACTATTTATAAACTTCCAAACCATATATTTATTAACATTCTAAGTTTACACAAAGTACTAAAACATAAAAGTTAGATAATGTCTAAACCTATAACATTTAACCTACGGTTCTAGAACACGTTCAAGCAAACTTGACTCCTTTCGGCATCATCGTCAATTTCTCAACAAGTCTTCACATGTCATCAATTCACCTACATCACAAGAAAAATAGTGACCAAAAACTCAATAAGTGTAATTATGCATGCATAATGTAAAGAAATACATTTTACATGACTTTGAAAAATATTTTATGTGATCAAACGTACCCTATCGAATGTGCATACATTCAACCCTTCATAAAAGCTATGACTATAAAAACCATGAAAAGTGCTAGACATGTCCCCTATGGAGCTTGCGATGCTCACAAAGAGTTGATCACTCTCCCTACAAGCCATGGCTGAACATGTCTAGCCTCAATCATTTTCTTGAAAACCATGCACTTGTCCTTGTCTTTAGATACGTGAAACATGATGAAAATGTTTTTGTGATGTGAATGCAATCAAATAACATATTACATAACCTATGATCTTAAATTAACTATGTAGGCCAAATTCACTTATCGGTGAAACACTTAAACATTCACCCATGTAGCACTAAACAATAACATTCCAATGACATCAATCAACAGATCAATTGCATAATCAATCAATAAACACATAGAAACATCACTAAGTCATTCCAAGTAGTGTTGGCCAAACCTTAACAACCTTAAGCTAAATCTCCTTGAACATGGACCTAGGTCAAATTCATCCAAGCATTAAATAAAGAATCAATCATCAAAGAACCAAGTAGTCCTAAACATGGTCCTTGACCGAATGATCAAAAACATAAATACAAGTATCATTTTTTCATAGAACTAATCATATAACACAAAAGAATGGTATAAAAAAATAATTACATAAACATAATACATGAACAAACATCAAGAAACACCAATTCACTATTAGGCTAAAACTATCAAGAGACAAACCAAAAAGCAATACATGTATACAATCATTCAAATACCACATAAACACATCACCAAATACTTATACAATCCAAAATTAACATGACTATCCATATACATATGAATATTAAATCAATTAACTCTAATTGGTTCCTTGGCCGAATTTAATCACAACTCCCACAAACATGCAATAACTCATTCAGTTCATGAATTCGAGCATTCGAAGACTTCTAAATCATGTTTTAAGCTAATTTTATCTTTTAATCACCAATTAACCTTATGCTCAATCATTAATATAAGACAACATATTTAATGATCAACCATTAATTCAACCAACAATCAAACCATCACACATAATCAAACACTAATTAAGCATAAAAACATAATAATTCTCATAATTCCTATGTCTTGTGATGTAGTTGAGTTTGATTACCCTTATATGGAGTCTAGTTAGTGTTGAGAACACTTGAATTGCTTCCAAAGATCCCACCTTCCTCCTTGCAAAATTTCTATCAAGCTTGTTCAATTCCTTCTCCAACCTTTCAGCCAACTTTCCCTTTCTCAATCTCTCGATCATCGTTGCTTCTCCTTCACCAAATAAATTTGGCTTCCTACATTTCGGTGTTTAATTAGCCTAATTTTTATGAAACATATCTTAGTTATTTCTCCACTTATTTATACCCATTTTTTTCAACTTAGGAAGCTAGAAAGTTCTTCCATTCCTTCTTCCTTCTCTTGGACAAATGATAGGGAGCTAAGATTTTGTCA